CGTAACTTGCATAACATAAATAAAAATCTTTAATGTTGACTTTTTGTTTCACAGAGGACACGAACCCCGGTCTCTTGGTTCAAAGAAGGAGGTTCTGGCCCTCTATCCACCCCAACCACCTCCTTACTCAGTCTTGTCTGTCAAATAGCATACACTGCTCAAAAAAATAAAGGGAACACTAAAATAACACATCCTAGATCTGAATGAATGACATAATCTAATTAAATACTCCTTTTCTTTACATAGTTGAATGTGCTGACAACAAAATCACACAAAAATTATCAATGGAAATCAAATTTATCAACCCATGGAGGTCTGGATTTGGAGTCATACTCAAAATCAAAGTGGAAAACCATACAACAGGCCGATCCAACTTTGATGTAATGTCCTTAAAACAAGTCAAAATGAGGCTCAGTAGTGTGTGTGGCCTCCACGTGCCTGCATGATCTCCCTACAACGCCTGGGCATGCTCCTGATGAGGTGGCGGATGGTCTCCTGAGGGATCTCCTCCCAGACCTGGACTAAAGCATCCGCCAACTCCCATCTATGGGGACAGTCTATGTCTATGGTGCAACGTGGCGTTGGTGGATGGAGTGAGACATGATATCCCAGATGTGCTCAATTGGATTCAGGTCTGGGGAACGGGCGGGCCAGTCCATAGCATCAATGCCTTCCTCTTGCAGGAACTGCTGACACACTCCAGCCACATGAGGTCTAGAATTGTCTTGCATTAGGAAGAACCCAGGTCCAACCGCACCAGCATATGGTCTCACAAGGGGTCTGAGGATCTCATCTCGGTACCTAATGGCAGTCAGGCTACTTCTGGCGAGCACATGGAGGGCTGTGCGGCGCCCCCAAAGAAATGCCACCCCACACCATTACTGACCCACCGCCAAACCTGTCATGCTGGAGGATGTTGCAGGCAGCAGAACGTTCTCCACGCGTCTCCAGACTCTGTCACGTCTGTCACATGTGCTCAGTGTGAACCTGCTTTCATCTGTGAAGGGCACAGGGCGCCAGTGGCAAATTTGCCAATCTTGGTGTTCTCTGGCAAATGCCAAACGTCCTACATGGTGTTGGGCTGTAAGCACAACCCCCACCTGTGGACGTCGGGCCCTCTTACCACCATCATGGAGTCTGTTTCTGACCGTTTGAGCAGACACATGCACATTTGTGGCCTGCTCGAGGTCATTTTGCAGGGCTCTGGCAGTCCTCCTGCCGCTGCTGGGTTGTCCTGCTGCTGGGTTGTTGCCCTCCTACGGCCTCCTCCACGTCTCCTGATGTACTGGCCTGTCTCCTGGTAGCGCCTCCATGCTCTGGACACTACGCTGACAGACACAGCAAACCTTCAGAGCTCGCATTGATGTGCCATCCTGGATGAGCTGCACTACCTGAGCCACTTGTGTGGGTTGTAGACTCCATCTCATGCTACCACTAGAGTGAAAGCACTGCCAGCTTTCAAAAGTGACCAGAACATCAGCCAGGAAGCATAGGAACTGAGAAGTGGTCTGTGGTCCCCACCTGCAGAACCACTCCTTTATTGGGGGTGTCTTGCTAATTGCCTATAATTTCCACCTGTTGTCTATTCCATTTGCACAGCATGTGAAATTGCTTGTCAATCAGTGTTGCTTCCTAAGTGGACAGTTTGATTTCACAGGAGTGTGAATGACTTGGAGTTACATTGTGTTGTTTAGGTGTTCCCTTTATTTTTTTTGAGCAGTGTACCTTTACCGTCAAAAACCACTACAGGGCTTCCCCCAATACGTTGGACTATGAAACTGACTACGATGGCTCTTGACCATGCGTCCATATGTGACGACTCAGGGAGTGAGAATGGGTTGCATGGGAGGAGGAAAAAAGCCAGCGAGAGTAATGACCCACAACTGAAAGAAGCTGGTAAAGCTCTTAGGCATGAATGCAGGATTAGGGTGCAGGGCAGCCGAGCTGCCGTCACCCTGGATTCTGAGACAAGATGGAACCACAGAGAGGGCAGCTAGATCGCTGACCCTCTTGGCCAATGTTAGAGCCATGAGCTCTAGGAAGCTAGGAGCTCAAGGAACTTCAGGTCCGCCGTCTCCAAAGGCTCAAAAGGAGCTTGGGTCACGGCGCGTAAAACCAGCGCCAAATCCCACTGTGGAGCAGCAGGACCGGCCTGTGCCTTCACACCCCCTTCAGGGAACGCTTCACCAATGGGTGAGTGAACACCATCCTGTTACCGAACTCCTAGTGACAGGACGAGATGGTGGCAGTGTAGGTCTTAACTGTACTGAACGCCAGACCTTGATCCATGAGCAGCTGAAGGAACGAAAGCATCCCCGGCAGCGTTGGAACGCCAACCATTTGGAGGAGTAAGAGGACTGAGTAGAGGCAGCTCTCAATCCCTGGATGGTGCACACCACTTCATGGGACAGACTTAGACACTCCCGGCGCCGCCTCTCAGTGGCCAGACTCACAAGCATACAGCAGCTGGGGAGGCCACAAGGGGTGCACGAAGGCATCCAAACCCAGCATGGGGTCGTCCCGCGAGCTCAGTGAAAACCACAGGGCACACTGTACGTTCTCTCGGTTGGCAAACAGATCCACCTACATCCGCCCACAGGAGCAGCTGCCTGGCCAAGCCCAGCAGCTGTGCCGAGCGCTCCCTGCACTGGCGGTTTATGTAGACCGCTGCAGCCTTTTTGTCATTGCGGACCAGCACGTGCTGGTTCCGCAGCAGAGGGGCAAAGTGTCAGACCACCTTCCATTCCACCCCGACTGACAGAGAGAGGGGGTCCAGGTTAGATCTGAACCCACAGACAGAGTAACAATAATCGGGCGCCACCTCTGTCTCACCAGGTCAACACACAGGTCGATTAACCACCGCTGTAATCTCCTCATGTGCAAGAGGCCCAAAGGGAAAGATAAAACAGGATGCTGATGCCACAGGAACTTCCTGTGTTCGGGATGAGGACAACGTGAAAGTACGCGTCCTTCATGGCCAATGGAGGTGAGGCAGTCTTCCTGACACACACACTCCAGCACCTGTTTAACTGTCAACATGCAAAAAGCTCTCCCCATAATCGCTTTGTTGAACAGTGACAGATCTAGGATGAACCTCACGCCCAACGTCTTCTTCCTGGACAGGAAGTAACAGGAGTAGAACCCCTGATTCTCCTGCCTCAGGGGAACCCTGGAGATAGCCTACTTCTCCAGGAGCTCTTGAAGCTCTGCCTGGAGCCCGGTGAAGGGGGGAAGGCGAATTGCAGCCTGTGACCCCGGCGAATCAGGCTGTCCATCCATCTATCTCGAGCAGGAAGTGATCAACTCCTGCAAAGCCGTCAGACCTGCTAATGGCCTGGTGGTCATGAAGAGAAGCACTTCTGCTGCCCTGCCACGAGCTCGCAGCCGGGCACTGCTGGGGGAACGTGCGTAATGTGTGCAGCATCACAAACTGCCCGGCAGATTTCTTCTTTAGAAGCATATTTGTATAGGGTGTGTATGTTTTCTGTCCACACGAAGCTTAATGTCCACTCTCGTGGGCTCATCCACAATTTCTTTGAGGAGGGGTGTGTGAAGGGACAGTTGTTAGGACTACCCGACTACTTACATCTGAAGGACAGAGGACACTAGTTTTAGGACCACCAGGTGCACATTTTAGACAGAGAAGATGGATGGTTTGAAAGAGGTGTCAAGGAAGACATCTACACCAGGGTTGAGAAGCCGTCATTGAACAGGGGAGGGGGTCTACGCCACCACTTATCCCCCACTTACAATGCTGTCCTTTCATCACTTCCCAGGAAACTCAACAAACGTAACCTATTGGCCTCAGGTGAAGATGCCAACGATGGTCGTTCAGTCTTGGCCACGGGTAGTCCTAACGACCGTAACGACTGTCGTTACAACAGCCAGGAACACTAACGAACCAGCAGTATCGACGAGAAGAAGTCCTTTGGATGAGGGACGAAACGTCTTCTCGTATCTTCAACCAAGTCCAGTTGCCCTTGACTTTAACCTTCTTCGGAAAACTATGGCCTAGATGACTGAGAATCTTCACAGACATCTTTACTACTACTCACTAAAGTGTCCCTTTAAGTAGATCATATCATTCTTTTAATACGGGCTTCAGGGTGCGGAAATAAGAAGAAATTCATCCTGTTTGCTCAAGCAGCTATCATTGTCAGGCACATTGTTTACATTACTGTGTGCATTAATTTCATTTTCACAGTAAGTTATGAAATAAAGCTGTTGTGAATAAATATAATGTCATTGGAATACCATGATCATTTCTGAAAAACAATAGTGAGCAATACTGCTTTGGCAATATTGTTGCTATACATTCATGCCAATAAAACTAATTTGAATTTGAATTTGAGTACTGCAACATTAATGTGGGCTTACATATTTGAATATTTTTATGTAGACACAAGATCTGATTGGTACAACATGATCAACCCTCTAATATTCATCGATGACTACAGTGAGTAGTAGTCATGATGAATAGTAATAATAGTTTTATTTATATATCATGTACAGACAAGCTGAGCTGTTTTTTTTCCCATTTTGGTATTTTGCATGAGTCAAAAAGTTTTCTCTGGTATTTTAGGGCTGGAGGTGGGTATGAGGTGTGTGGGGGTAGTATTGTGGCTGCAGTCAGCATCCTCGAATTCCTCCAGTAACACATGTCAGAGAACTTCAATTCATCAAAAGAATGAGAGAGAGATTAGCATTTTTTGCAAGAAACATGCACACACACACAGCTGGACTCACAGCTGTCTGTCTGTCTGTCTCTCTCTCTCTCTCTCTCTCTCTCTCACTCTCTCTCTCTCACACACACACACACACACACACACACATGAACATTAGAAACACACAGACAATTTTCTCCCTTCCTCACGCTCCAGCGATCGCAGTCACACTGACTACTGGCTTGGTTCCACACACGTGTGCACACACACACAGACACACACACACACACACACACACACACACACACACACACACACTGAGTCAGACTCACACTGACTCTCTCTCACACACACTCTGACTCACACACACTGCAGCAGAGCACTCTCTCTCTTTCTCTATGTCCGCGCTCATCCCGCCTTCTTGACAGCAGAAAACACTTGGGTTTCCATCGTACGGGACCGGCTGCCGCTTCTTTTGAAGCTCCATCTCTCTTCTCACTCTCTACCAATCATTCTTTCTTTCTTTTCTTTATTTTTCTCTCTCTGCTCATCCTCCAGTTCTCTCTCCCTTCTCGCTGAGAACAGGGCTGTGTATTGTCGGGGTTGAGGGTTTTGTGTTGTCAGCAAGAGGAGGGAACATGCAGCATCCTGGAGGAACATGTGTGACGTTACCCAACGTGGACGCCTGTCCTCAGCTGTCCTGCGCTGCTCTCACCTTCATGTATTTACAGCAGGTGAGTGTGTGTGTGTGTGTGTGTGTGTGCGCGCGTAATTTTGTCTACATGAATTTACATCTTGTGTACATGTTATTTTTTGTTGCTGCTGCTGCTGCTGCTGGACATGGGAAGTGGAGTGGAACAGAATAACTGCATGCTCCTACTTACAGGGCAAAATAAGAGAAACACAAAGAGTGTGTGGATATCTAGCATCTGTAAATGCGTAGTGTCTCTTTGTGCCAGTTTGAAAAGCATCCATCCTCCTTGTCCTGTGTACAGCTGGTACTGTGGCTCTCTCCTCCAGTTCTTTGAAGAGGAAGCAGAAAGTGTGTTGATGTTGACATCTATTAGTTGGAGAGGCCATGGATCAGGACCATCCTGTTCAATATTCCAGTTTAGTGCTTTGTTAACAGTGTGCCAGACTGCAAATATAAATGTTTTCATACCTTGTCTTTAATTTGCTACATCAATCACGTTGTTGGGTTCAGAACTCCCAACTTCTGTTTTTCTCAGCTGTGACTCCAAAACAGTTTTTGTTAGGGTGACCAACAACCATGTTTTATGTCAAAGTCTGATTTTCTGGATAGCACCAACAATTTGATTTTGTTAATTAGTGATGCTGTTAATGTTATAACAACAGAAAGGTTTTCTATCTTTAAGACTTTACTAATCAGTCATTTATTATTAGGGGGTCCAAGTCCGTGTGGGCTGGGAACCCACGAATGCAAGGCATCGCGGTTCCCAGTACCAGCGGAGCTGTGAACCTTATTGTTGTCCTGTTATTGATTTTTATTATTCATTTATATATTATTATACGTTTTGGCCTAAAACTGATACAATGGCCTAGACGTTAAGTGCTACAAAATTAAAATCCCTTTAATTTCAAACTCTGGTCGTTTATTCGGCCTGGGCCCCTCTTACAACTGCTTGCAGTTCTAGTTGTTATTATTATTATTATGTGTGCATATTCATTTCCACCATGCTTAATGTAGGTATTGGATACATATTAGATAAGTTTAAGTTTAATGTGAAAATTTGTACTTTTGTTTGTCTCACCAGATCATGATTGAAAATACTGGTAATTAATTTAGTTGTTTTCTAGACAGTGTTCATAGGTTCCAGTCCAGTGGTTGGAGCTATGATGCCTGGTAGCGTTAGGTTATTTGGCTAGGGGTTGGGTTAGAATAAATAGTATATAATATTTTCAGATAGGCTTTTATTAACATTAATATTCAGATATGGACCTCTGTGACAGCCAATATTAAAAAAAATTTTCTTTTTCGTGTTAGAAAATGTCTTTAAAAGCATGAATTAATAATTTCTTTCTAACTGGAAAATCTAACTGGACTCAGCATTTGCTGATTTTATTTACTTTCATTACTTTTTAATGATTAATTTTTTAATGAAAATGAAATGAAAAAGGCGTTTTTCATGATAAGGTAACTTTAATAATCACTTGACTTTGAGAGCTCTGAAAGAATCCTGCTTGTTTAAAATTCCATTTTAAATGAGTGAAAATCAGGATGTATACTGTATGTAATTACAACTTCACTTATTAATTTGTTTAATTATTTAATTAAAAGAGTCTGTGACATTAAAAACCATAAAAACAAAACATCACTTTCTTAATTTATTATATTTGATTCACACATTTTCAATATGATTTTATGACAAAAGAAAGTACTGCATTTTTAGTGCTGATATGCTGATCAAGTAAGAGTTTTTTTTTTTTTATCTCACCATAACTTTCTAAAAATTTGCAAAACAACTAGCTAGGTAAAGTCATGTAAGTCACAACAAGGAGGCAGCCATCTTGATTTGGAAAATAAGGGACCTCTGCTTCCTGCATTGTACTCCACCAGAAGGCAGTTTACACATGACAGATTGTATACAATAGGCTTGTCAGGTAATGGATGATGTAGATCAGAGAAACTCATGTATCAAATAGGATGCAAATTGTATTTAATGATTTTATTCATATATTGACAACCCTAAACTTACCTTCAGTTCTGTGTTTACGTACATTGTATAGTGAGAATAAATTGCACTTTTTATGTAAGCATAACTTTCCTGTCAGATCAGTTTTGTTCATAGTAGCCATATTTATGGAAACATTAATGCAAATGCAGCAGTTGTTGCATTAGTGAAAAATAGTTTATATACCGAGAAACTATAAGTGAACTATATATGAATTTTCTTAAATTATGTGAAATAGTGCTACACTGTTAAGGAAAAGATTCATTCTTCTTACACAAGTGACTGGCCATGTTTACAAGAGCTCTGTTAACATGTAATGAGTTTTTACAGCTTTAACAGCTCATTTAAAAAAAAAATGCTGTTGTTTGCTCCATCAGAAAAGAGAAAACATTGCTCAGACCTTCAGATACTACATTGAAAAAAAATAAAATTTAATTAATGGGTATGATCACAAAGTATGCATTTTGTATGTTTACCTTCTTTATGTTTAGTTTACTGTTTCTCCTCTGAGTACATAAGTTTGTTAAGTTAACATTTTGAGAGTATGTGTATATGTGTGTGTTGAAGAATGAATCTACAAGCAGAATTTCACTGGGTAAAGAAGCTGTGGAATAGAAACATGACCCGGGAGCAGTGTTTACACCCTGCTGTACACTCCTTGATCATTACACAACCCACAGATCAATCATCATCTGTGATGAGTCCCAGTAGATGGTGCTACACTGATACACATCCATCACTGTGTGTTCCATCAGACTTTTAGAAGGGACAAAATTAGCTTCTTTGCATTTACATAGCCCGGGTAAGGACGGCAGCCAGTACAGTAACACAGTGTTTGAAATAGTAATTTGACATTACACAATGAACAATCACTTTATTTGTCCTGAAACAGTAAGCAAAAACAAAAACACTGGTTGTTTCCTTTATGAGAAATATTAAATATTTACACCTTGCACTCATGTTACCTTTCCCTCACAGAGTTTCAGTGGGAGAGGTTTTGGAGGTAAGGAAGGTAGAGATACTGTAGGTAGTAGCTGAGTTATTATGAGCCATGTAGGCTACATCCAGAAATAGAATTGTGGAAAATGTGTAAATACTGTAGTAGTGGACAAGAAACAGAAGCTGCTGATGAAAACTGTTGCAGAAAGCGGATCACAAGTTACACACTGCTGAATGTCACTAAACAACTATGAAAATGCTCTTGAATTCCCCACTTTAATTTGTGAGCTTTCAATGCATTATGAGGCATCTACCAACGTTACACAGATGTTAAGTAGCCTGTGTCTAGATTATCAAACATAATACTTTATACACACATAATACACAAATCATTGTCCATTTGACATCAAACTCAACTTCTGTGAAGACCAAGATATGAAACATAATTTGATCTGGTTTTTGGACATTTCCACATATGGTTTTCATATATTTCAAATGTGAAATATAAGAAATAATATGCGGAACACCATGTCACATAATAATATAATAAATCACAGTTTATATATAGTGAATTCATATCAATTTTAAAATATAATTTTTTTTTTGTTTTTAACTATTTTATTTTCCTCTGATATAAGTGTAGAAAAGCAAATAATAATACAATAACAGGAGCATTCTCAAACAAAAACAAGTGAACTACAGTACATTGTTTTGTAGTAAGATGAAAACACCATATTTTCTTCCACCTTGCAATGAATTAAAACATGGATTTCCATTACACACTGTTTGCAGTCAGAGTTGGTGAGTATGCCGTGTGTTTTTATGACCCAGTTTTCGAGCATATCGGGCCCACTGTGGGCCCTATGCAAGGGAACTAGTAAGAAGAAATTAAAATATGACAGAGCAAAAGCCTGAAGCAGAGGATTATTTTAACGGCGCTCAGGGATGAAAGAGTAAATGACGAGCAAAGAAAAAGGCTTCTGCAATCTGACAATTTCTCATTAAACAACTTTCCTTCATTAGTCTCTTTTATCCCTCGCTACACGCTATGAGAGCATGTGTTGTGTGTAAGGGAGAGAGCTTTTGTTTTTAGATTGTTTGAGAATTCCAGATTGTGCTAATGTGTTGGCATGTTATGCCAGAGCATTGTGTGTGTGTGTGTGTGTGTGTGTGTGTGTGTGTGTGTGTGTGCCTTGCCTAGATTTGGTTCTTTGAAGCTATATATAGTCAAGCCATGTAAGATATTTTGAATACATCTGAATGCCTTTAGGGCTTCTCTGCCTGTGTGTGTGTGTGTGTATTTTCAGACAACACTGCACATTCATTATTTTTCTATGAATATGTTTGATTCACCCTTGGATGATTTCTCGGCCTATTTTAATACCTGCATTACATGTTCTGTCCAAAGACCTCAATAGTCTAACACAGTAATGTGAGAAAGAGTGGATTCGTTTGCACACACAGTTGATGCAGTCAATGCTTAATCATACGCAAACCATGTTCCACTGCTTGTGTGTGTGTATATGAATGCTGTTGGGGAAAATCAATTCTGGATATACGCTCTTAGTCAACCGCAGAGGAAAGCTTTACAAAACACTGACATTGGAAGAAAGGTGACTTGATTTTCTTTATATATTAGTAATGGTGTCATAAGATTGTCATTGCAATGTAATGTAGCTGTTGTTATTCCATGCAGTATTCCCAAGACTAGCCTCTAATAGCCTGGTAGGTGAAATTACCTGTGCTATAATTGGCTCACATGAGGAATTTACCTTTTTCCACAATAAGCCGCTGTCAGGGAAACCCAGACCCACTGCATATTACAGTTTTTTATAACATCTTACAAACCATTTTCAAAACTATGTCTCATTTCTTCAAAACTCTACACACAATTCCCAAAACTGCACACCCAGAATGCAAAATGCCTCATATGTCCTTTAAAATTTCATAATAGTAAATATTTGAATATACCATGTGAACTGTTGTTCTAAATCTAAAGCTCTTTTCTCTTTCATAGGCTTATGTGTATGTAACCCACAGCATCTGAGTCAGTGCAGACTGTCATGGCCTCTCTAGGCCTCCCCTGGACTCTGCGCTGTGTT